TTATTTATTGTAGAGATGAGGTCTCACCAAGTTGCCTGGGCAGGTCTCGAACCCGCAGGCTCGGGCAATCCACTCACCTCAGCCTCCCAAAACGCTGGGATTACAGGCTGAGCCACTGAGCCCGGCATATTTCATATTTAATTATAGATTTTATGGATTTTCTTCGAGGGACTTGGGGTGCAGGTGTGGAGAGAAAACATGAACATTACTTTAGATGTCACTACCTATAGTTTTCTCATGCTTTTGATCATATACCTTGAGATAATGGAACATAATTTGAAGTCTTAATTCTCATATAGAAGAACAAATATCCGGTGCTTATGAGGCTCTCCAGATTTAGTATCATCAAGACTCCAGAAGAGGTATTAAGTGCCTGTCTAGAGCCTTCTAGCCAAGCAGCGCATTAATGGTTTCGTGGGTCTAATTTTCTTGCGAATGCATAGCTGTTAATATCAATGACTATTTACTCCAAGTTCTTTGAGGCATGTTTAGGAGGGTTAGAATATATTCACCAATATTATCAGACCTCTCCTCGGCTCCTCATCTAGGGCAACAGTATTCATTGCTGCAATTAAGACTGTGTATCCTTTCTTCCTCTTGAGCGCACAGCAGTGTTTCTAAAATGTCTTTCTTTCTTTTCGTTCCCACATTTCAAAGCCTCCCATCTCTCTGCAGTAATCCCCTGGCAGTTTATCTGCAACAGTGCCTTTCATCTGTACCATAGCCAGAGTGACCTTCCTAAAACTCATATCGGATCCTGACACTCTCTTGCTTATGTTTGAACACGCAAGAAGCCCAACTAAAATATGTAGAGGACAAGCTAGCTATATCTTACGGTGCTATTTTGCATGCTAGCCTGTGACAAGGTAATAGTACCTGGACTTGTACCTCATTCAGGGTCAAGGCCAGACTTGTAGAGGCATCACAGGAAGCTCCTGGTGAGCTGACCGGCCCGCCCTCCTGCCATTCCCTAACTAATTCCCTGATGTCCAGACATACTGGACTCCTGAGAACACAACTCACTTCGACCCTTCCTTGCTATGCTTGGGCTGTTCTTTGCCTGGGCTATTCCTCATGGCAAAATCCTTCCCTTCTTTCAATGTCAGATTCAATGTTGTGTATGATATGAAGATTTTCCCAATCAGTATCCCATCTTCTAACACCATGGAAGGCAAGCCTAACTGCTCCCTTGACTCAGTCTCACGGCAGTTGGTTTGCACCAGCAGTACGGCACACAGAAACATGGATAGCTAATTTTCTACCAATCTGTCTCCTGGTAGCAAGGCCTTGAGCCAGCCACGTTTTGAAACCTGCATTTAGCATGTTGTCTTACAAATAAGTACTGAAGTGCTCACATCCATGAGAGGAAGCTAACAAGCAAAGAACGTGCTCAGGCTTCTTCCGTTTTCTGTAATATGGTAGTGTTTTCTCAAGGCAGAAGTTCAACAGATTTTTTGCTTCCTAGAGTTGTACCGCACTTCTTTCCTCAGTGAAAACAACTTGGAGGCAGCATCAGATACTAGAAGGAGGGTAGTATTTAGAATCAGAGAACCTGGGCTTAGTCCACACCAGCTCTGTGAATTGAGCACGTCACATAACCTCAGTGAGAACTCAGCCTCTCCCACTCTAATGTAGGAATGTCTACCCGACTGGGCTGTTTTCAGGATTATGGGAAATTACACAGATAAGAAACTGGGGAACATTGTATCATGAGAAATCTTTATAAATGTGTCATTTTCACGATGGTTGTTTATATATGAACATGAAGATACTTTTACATAAAAACTTCCATTTCAGAAATTTCAGAAATTATTTTGGAGGAGTAAATCTCATGTCAGTACATATTTTAAATTTTTCTCTCTTTTTTTTAAATGACACTTGCATCCAAGATCGTCTAGGTTTTCTCATTTTTCAAATATCCTGGGAAGGAGATGCAAAATTTCATCTTCCCCTCTTTACTTTGGGGCCACCTACTTCACTAAGCTTATCATCGAACTTCACTGCTTACAGCAGGGGTCCACAACCCCCGGGACAGTGGACCAATCCAAATCTGTAGCCTGTTAGTTACTGGCCGCACAGCAGGGGGTGAGCTGCAGGAGAGCAGAGCTAAGCTCCTGTCGGATCTGCCGTGGTGTTAGGTTCTCGTAGGAGCACGACCCTCCTGTGAACTGCGCATGTGAGGGATCTAGGTTGCATGCTCCTTATGGGAATCTAATGCCTGATGATCCGCACCCCCCCCCAAAAAAAATTGTCTTCCATGAAACCAGTCCCCGATGCCAAAAAGGCTGGGGACCACTGGCTTAGAGGACGTATGTGGCAGGGATAATGGTATTTTGGATTCTGATCTGATTCCTCTCTTCTTATATTTTTCCACTTTTCTTCTCTCCATTCAAGCAGATAGCTGGTGTGTGGTTGACTCAGGGGTGGCACATAGCAGGGTGGAAAAGGCAAAAAGTACACAAATCCATCTGGTTTTTGAATTCCCGAAGAGGCACCCTAGAGGCCTCCGGAGGGTCAGAGATAGTGAGGAGAGTTTAGCTGCCCTTCCAAATTCAAAAGAGCTTTTCCTGGACTGGGAAAGGAAGTGAGGTAAAGAGAAAGAGAAGTCTCCGGCTTTCCAAAATGGCAGGTACCTGTGCCCTGCTTCCCAAGGAGAGCCGCTAGGATGGGAACATGGCACCATCAGAGCTGGCAGACTGGGGTGTTGGGAGATGCCCTTCTGCAGCCAGCAGGAAAGCTAGTAATCATCTATAGAATGGGGCTGACAATATCCAACTCACCAAGCAAAGCAATTTTGAGAATTATTAGGAAGAACACATGTGAATGACTGGCATTCTCAAGGTACTTAGTAAATGTTATATTCCCTCCAGCCCACATGGACATTTTGGCCCTGCCTATCAAACCAATTCCATTCCTGATCACCCTCGTCTGCCGACTTCCACGTTCTTCCTCAGGGACTGCTGATTGGTACTGGTGAAAAAAGACAAAATCATGCAGACAAGAGCCAAGCCAGGGCTGCTGTGGCTGCCTCCTCCTCCTCTTCCTCCTCTTCCTCCTCCTCCTCCTCCTCTTCCTCCTCCTCCTCTTTCTCCTCTCTTTTACTTCCCCCTTCCCATGGAGCAAGTCCCCTCCTTTCCTTCACTTTATTATTTTCTCTTCTTTCATAGACTTTACTGCGATGCTAACCAACAGCCTTGGCATCCAGCCCTCATGGCCCTCTCATCCACTCCAGCAGAGAGACTCAGTCCTCTGGCCATCACAGCAAGGCAGAGCCTCTATTCTGACAGTACATGGCAGTCCACACAGTGAAGACAATGGGCGCCTGCCTACAAATTATGCTGGGGAGAGCAGGGACAAAATACCTCTAGACGAAACACTACCTTCCTCCCCAGTGGAAGAAGTCTTCAGTTAATAAGTACCATTAAAGATGGCTTCCCTCTGAAGAAATGTTGTTCTCCATGGCCCCAGGCTAAAAGGAGTATCTTAAAGTATGTTCCTTTTGATTTCCTTGCCTGGGTAGCAACTTTCTCAAATAGTGGTAATAACCACGATAGCACATGGCTTCAGAGCATGTGGACGGGGAGAGGGAGGTAGGTGGATAATTAATTTATGCACAGACATGTGAGTTCCCAGATGCATCCTCCTGACCCTTTTGTTTTCCGGAAACCAAACACAGGATGGTGGAGTACGGGCCAGTGGGGAATTGCCAGCAAGGCTTTGATGTGTGTTTTATCACATGGAGCCAATTTTGGTTCCCTTTTGAGTTGAGTATGCTTGTCACAGAACACTCAGTTCTAGGCTTAGCTGCTCCATCAGTGAAGGGATGTCTCTTCGTAATGCTCAGGTTTCTACACTCAGAAAGGTGTGGCAGCCCTTTACCTTCATAGTGCTTTACACTCGTATAAATGCATTGGGTGTTCCCAGGCCCTGTCCAGGAAAGTCTGCTGTTTTTCAAAGGAATCTTTTATGCCGTCATCCTCGGGAAATATTATTGTTTGTTTCCTAGCAGAAACCAGAGTCCTTAGAGAATAGGAAATGGGACAAGTTTTGATTATAGAGAAGTCGATGTGGGGATCAGCAGGCATGGAGCTGGGAAGGCAGATGGAGATAGGATGCCTCCTTGGGTCTTGACTTCCAGGTGGTGAGGAATGTGTGGGGAGCCAGAAGGAAGGTTCCCCACCTTCTTTACCATTTGACCTCCGATAGCCACGGACCCTCTCGGAAAGCATCGTGTTTAGGGATTGGTCTAATCCATGCTTTGATTTATTTTATTTTGACTTTGGGGATATAGTTTACTTTAAGCTGCAATATCTTTTTCTTTCTACTCCTTCCAGATTCATGAAGGTGGCAGGAAGCACGGTGGATGCAGTTACCTGGCAACAGTAGGTATTCACCACTTTAGCTGTTACTCATCAGCTGCTATGAAATGGAAGATAATTGGTTGTCACCAAACTCATAACTGGCATTTAGTAAGCTATCCTTCATCCTCCAGGAAAAAAGTTTAAAACTCACGGCACCACTGTTTTTGTGGTACATGCTTTTTCTCGTAGCACCAAAATTTTATTGTTTTGTTTTCAGAAAAACAAAACAAAGCAAAAACCACTGACACACTTTTGGAGTTCAACGATTACATACATGTTGAAGTGAATCTGTCATAGGTGAACAGGTAACGGGGATCTAAGCTCACCAACATTCCCTGTAGGCTTTTCCTTTGGGAATCAATTCCCTTGTACAAGAGAGGAAATCATTTTAATTGCTCGATGTATCATGTGAAAATAGAAACAGTTTGCTATGTTAATGGCAGTGGTCTTAATTAGTGCCCAGTGAGGCAGGTTAAAGCAAATGGATAACAAAGCAGCTCCAAGAGAGGGAATCAACTCCAGCATTCCAGAAGAAGCTCACAGTGGCAAACACCTGTTACCCCAAGGATGATTTGAAAATATGTAATGATCTGATACATAAACCTAAATACCCTTTAAGTCTCTGTCAGGCATGTGTTCCAGAAAGTTCAGCACAAATCACTATCTCATTAATTTCATACTGGAATTCTCTTCTTTAGGAAAGCTATCCCACATCTTCCAAACCCCCTGCCGTCTAAGGTGGTGCTCACAGTGCAGACATCTGTGCTCTCAAGCTCCCTCCTCAGCCTCGACTGTGGTCCTCCTTCTCAGTGACCCTAACCCTTCCTGCACGTGCTCCTCTTGTCAATCCTGTTTGAAGTGGATCCCACTATCCATTGCAGATTTGTGATGGGTGTAAAAGAAAAATAAGCAGATGAAATCTTTATCAAATATCCCCAAAGCGTTTCTGGTTTGTTGGCAATCAATAACTTAAATCATAATGGGAAATATTTTAGTCTACTTTTATACTCTTAGTTTCTCTAAATCACAAGTTACAAATGTTGGTTCTCAGTTTGTTTCTGTGAGTCATGGACTGAGGAAGTGTGAGGACTTTGTCTTTCCCTTGCTTAAAACCCAACGGTATCTTTCCTCTGCCCTTGGACTTAAAACCAAACTGTCCACTCTAGGCTTTCGTGTTGGCTCCTGCTGCCTTCTGCTCTCATGGTGCCCCCTGCCCTCCTCACCCTGTCCCCACACACTGCTGGTCCTTCCATTCTTGGAAGGTCCCTCCACATGTCTGCCTCAGGATCTTTGTATCTGCTACTCCCTCTGCCTGAACATGCTGTTCTCCTTACCTTTTGTGTGACCAGCTCCTTCTCGCCTTTTAAGTCTCACCTTGCATATCATCTCCTCAGAGAGGCCTTCCTTGACAACCCTATCCAAAACAGGTCCCTTGACATTCTTTTCCTTAGCTCTTTGTTGTTTTTTTATAGCACTTACAATAACTTACATTCATTTTTTCCTCATGACTTGTTTTGTAATTTTTTTTTCTTTCACCGGAATTGCACTTATTCAATTCACCAAGCCTTTGCTTAGGCAGTAGTTTATTTGGCATTTACTATGGGGAAGAAATAATGACAGCAACAATAATGATAATAAAAATAATAACAATGTACCAGGATCTGTTCTCAAACTTGCCAGGCCTTATCACCTCTAATCTTCGTAACAACAATAAAAAACAAAGGTAGAGACTATTTTTATCTCTATTTTACTACAACTTAGAGGAAGTTATAGAAAAGCCAAAGATTTTATAGCAAGTGGGAAATTTTGGACTTGAAATTGAGTCTTATCTTACTCCCAGGGCTATTGTCTTAACTATTACTGCTTTGATAACAAGATAATGTTCTTTTACTGAAATTGTGCTCAGCGACCTCACCAAAAGGGCTATCTGATAATGTAGCATAAAGGCTGAAACTTGAAGAATTTATAGGATTTGTAGGGAGAGATAATGAGAGTATAAGAAAAGTATTGGCTAAGATTGTATAATTATAATTATCATGGCTGACAGGTAGGAATCAGAGAAAACTTTTCCTTTCTATTCAAGTACTCTCCCTGGCACAAGTGTAATGACATGAGCACAGTATATTTTTTTTAAATAATGGAAGAATGCATTTTTTAATAAATATATTTTGTTTATTGGCTACTTAAAAATGTTGGCTATGTCTCAAGATAAATATCACATGTTTGCAACTATTCCAAAAATACCCCCCCAAAACAAGCAGGGAGTTGTGGGTTTTTTTGGCTCCAGGATCAGCACTCATTTGGGGACAAGTAGCACCTGGAATCTATGATTTATCCCTTCCAGCCATAGTTTTCAGTCAAGATTTGGAAAAGACATGGAAGAATCCCAGGAAATCCTGGCCAGGAGGACTCAGTGAGAATTAAAGCCAAATGCCATGTTTCTCCAACCCTGAGAAATGCTGAGGTGAACTTTTCTTAACAATGTAAAGAAATCAAGAGTCATTGTTAGGGGGGAAAAAAGGGAGAACTAACATAGAATTTGTCATATGTCACTATATGGATATATACATGGCCAAAAGAATAAATTCAATAATGGAATGTTGCCGGGCTTGGTGGCTCAGCCTGTAATCCCGCGCCTTTGGGAGGCTGAGGTGAGTGGATTGCCTGAGCCCGCAGGTTCGAGACCCGCCTGGGCAGCGAGACCTCATCTCTACAATAAATCAAAAAATCAGCCGGGCATGGTAGCGCACGCCTGTAATTCCGGCTACTCGGAAGGCTGAGGAGGAAGGATTGCTGGAGCCCAGCAGGCAAGGCTGCGGTGGCCGGGAGCGGTCACTGCACTCTAGTCTGGGCGACAGAGTGAGACTCCAACTCAAAAAAAAATAATAATAATAATGGGATGTTGAGCTTGGAGCTTGAACAGCTAGAATTCTGAGTGTGAAGTCGTGAATAAACAGATCTCTGTAGTTTAACTATTTTGATTTGGAAGCATGTTCATGGATTTGCTACATTTTAAGAACAAAGGCATATGGCTTAATCCTTGGTCCTGCCCACCAACCCATGTAGAAAACCCAGCAAGAGTTAATGAGATGAAGTTATAATTACAAGCATAGTGGAGTACCTCGTATCAGACTAACCTTCTCATAGATAGCAACAATGAACTCTGGACAAAGTTTAAAGAAAAAAAGTGGAGAGTGATGAAAAAAGGCAGAAACCAGAGCAAAGTATTCAACCGTTGAAAGAAGTAAATGGTATGAGATAAAATTTACTTGTATATGACTTTTCTACTATGGTTACTTAACAATCCGTGCAGTATGAGGTAACTAGAACTCAAATAGATACATGGTCATATTGGCTGGAGGTGTCAGGAGAAGGAGTCGGAGACTGGAAACAGGATGGAAATCTCAAAAAGGAGGAAATACAAGGAAAAAACCACTGAATATACACATCAATATCCCCCAAATCTTTGATCACTGAAATGTGTATATTCATGGGGGAGTCCAAGGAGCCTGGTGGAATGCAACAGCTGGAAGTCTGAAAAAGTTGAACAGAGATTTCAGCTGCTGTCTGACATATGAGAGGCAGAGACTGAATATTAATCTCACAAATTTAAAGGGACTTGATAAACACCTTGTTCTTTCCAGCAAATCCAAAAGGAGTTATGCCTAAGGAGTAAGTCTATGTCTCAGGGTAAGGAATTGCCCTAAGACTTAAGTGTAACCAAAACAGACTTTCCCAAGCAAAGTGTAAACTGATGCCTCCTTAAGAAAGAGATGACCATCAGTCATTCAACTTTTTGCTAGATTTAAAACCAACACTCTTCTGTTTCTACAGAATATCATCCACATTTCACAGTATACAATAAAAAAATTACTAGGCATGTAAGGAAACAGGAAAATGTAACCTATAGCCAAGAGAATGAACAATAAATAGAAACCCTGAGATGATCCAGATATTAGAATTTGCTGACAAAGATTTTAATAAAGCTATTATAAATACTCAGAATTAAGGGGGAAATATCTTTATGGGGTAAATACATAGAAAAATATCAGCAGTGAAGTGGGAACTATTAAAAATGGAATTCTTGAAGTGAAGACAAGAATATCTGAAATGGAAAGCCCACTGGACGGGCTTAACAAGAGATTGGGAACTGCAGAAGAAAGAGTTAACTTGCTTACTGAGCAATAGAAATCATACAATTTAAAGAACAGAGAGAAAAAATTGTGAAAAGTGAACAAAATTCCAGTGACATTATTTCTAAAATGAAGTGGTCTAACATATGCATAATTAGAATTCAGAAGAACAGAAGAAAGAGAATGTGCAGAATTTTTTTTTTAATCCAAAGCTGAACTTCTCCTAAATGTGATGAAAATCATTAACTTATAGATCTAAGAAGCTAGGCAAAACCTAAGAAGAATAAATACAACAAAATCGTACCTGGGCATATTATAGTCAAACTGCTAAGAACAAAACACAAGGTGAAAATCTTTAAAGCACTCAGACAATTATAACTTTACATATAGGGAACAAAAACATAACAGATGGCTGGTTTGATTAGAAACAATGAAAGACAGAAGACAACAGAACATCTTTAAAGTGCTAAAGAAAAAATGTCAAACCAGAAGTCCATAACCAACAAAAATATTCTCAAAATTGAAAGTGAAATAGAGATGTTTTTGATCAATGAAAGCCAGGAAATCTGTATTATAAGAAATACTAAAGAAAGTTCTTTAGACAGAAAGGCAGCATCACCAGAAGGAAACTTGAATCTCAAAAAATAATAAAGAGCATTGGATAAGGTACATTTGTGGCTAAATATAAGACTATTCTTTTCTTTATTTAAAAAAATGGCTCCAATGCAAAAATGTAAGTTGTATTTTGGTGTTGATTACATACATAGATATAAAAATACATGACACTAATACCAAAAAAGGATAAGGAAGGGAGGTGGTAGCAGTAAATGGAACTATACTGTTGCAAAGTTCTTTTACATTAAGTAGTATAATATTTACTATAAGACT